TTACATGTACATGTACAATAACTATCCATCATTTATTTATAATAGGAAGAAAAGAAATGTCGTGTCTTCAGCAACATGATATGACCAAAGTCACTTTATTGTTCATGTTTTTACAAATCTACACTAAAGTTGATTTAAAGGTGGCTCACATCACAGCAGCACAAGTAAAGAGCATCCCTTTCCTCTCCTGCTACATTTCAAATGAATTGGAGAGCTTTGACACAATCAATGACGTCATTAATACTATCTTTCGGCACTGTTCTCTTCTCAATCATGACATCCTCTTACAACTTATAGGCAGCTTCCAGTTCACTAGTTCTCTAAGAGCATTAAGATCACTTGAGGATGAGCAGCAGTATTACTGCAGAAAGTTAATTAGTTCAGAGTTCATGGAAGAGCTCAATATCTTAAGAAGTACAATTTGTGCATCACTCGTACCAGTGGTTGAATTTGAGTTCCCCATTGATGTTCTTTCCTCTACAACTGTGTCTGAATTCAAGTTGACTCTGTGCTGTATTTTTTCAGAGCTGGCATCATTTCTACACCTTTATAGAATCATTTGTAACAAGTCTCTCATTAGAATTACTCTATGTGGTCCTGAAGGTCTGAGAACAAGAATAGCAAGCAAAGTAAAGTGCAAGAGCAGGTACATACTGAATGTAGCTGGTGCAAACTCATGTACTTGTGACATATTGGGCCATGTGAATCAGGTAAATTGCTGGTAAAATTAGTTATTGAATATTATAGCTTACTTTTACACTAGGAGAATTCAGGGATAAAAGATGACAAAGAAGAAGTTGATAATAAAGAGAGAAATGGTATGTACGTAATTATGTAGTGGCAAGAGTTATGATGATTTTTTACTTGTAGATCTTACTAAGAATGAACAATTGTTGAATGAAGATAGTAAGAATCAAGTTATAAATGGTAAGAAATAAAAAAATTAAAATCTAAAGTGAATTTATGTAGAAGTGGCAATAAGAACAAGCCCAAAAGAATTGTCAGTAGACGTAGTTCAGTCAACAGAAGGTAGAGACTAGTTTTGCTATTTTGTTTTTATGATTGCATCAGTAGGACCTATGTGTATTTATCCAGCTTGCATTGAATTGCAGTTACATGAAGAGCCTATTCCTGATGTATCAGTTACAAAGTCACCAAAATTAGGTGAGTAATGGTAGTATAGAAGTTACAGGAAAGATCAAAACATAATTACCTTGTATTGTAGCATCAGATAATGTAATAAATTGGGAGTAATTTTGTTACAAAACCATGACTATTTTTCAAAATGTTCCATTTATTTAGAAATGGTCATAACTTGAAAAATCGAAGTCGGAATCGGCTCAAACTTTCTACATAGCATAAGTACATCAATATGTATCAGAAAATGTAATAAAAATTGGGGGTGATTTGGAGCAATTTTTTGGAAAAAACCATGGGCTATAGCGTTGGATATTTTTCAAAGTTTGGCCTATTTTAAAAAACGGCCATAACTTTAAAAATTGAAGTGGGAATTAGCTCAAACTTTTTACATAGCATAAGTACATCAATATGTATCAGCAAATGTAATAAAAATTGGGGGTGATTTCGAAGCCATTTTTTGGAAAAAACCATGGGTTATATATAGCCTTGGATATTTTCAAAATTTGGCCTATTTTTAAAAATGGCCATAACTTTAAAAATTGAAGTGGGAATTGGCTCAAACTTTTTACATAGCATAATTACATCAATATGTATCAGAAAATGTAATAAAAATTGGGGGTGATTTCGGAGCCATTTTTCGGAAAAAAATTATGGGCTATAGCCTTGGGTATTTTTCAAAATTTGGCCTATTTTTTAAAAATGGCCATAACTTTAAAAATTGAAGTCGGATTTGGCTGAAACTTTTTACATGACATAAGTACATCAATATGTATCAGAAAGTGTAATAAAAATTTGGGGTGATTTTGGAGCCATTTTTTGGAAAAAACCATGGGCTATAGCCTTGGGTATTTTTCAAAATTTGGCCTATTTTAAAAATTGGCCATAACTTTAAAAAATGAAGTCGGATTTGGTTCAAATATTTTACATAGCATAAGTGCATCAATATGTATCAAAAAATGTAATAAAAATTTTGGGGGGATTTTAGAGCCATTTTTCTGACAAAACCATGTGCTATATATAAGTACAGGGATTTTTTTTAGAAATTGGCTCATTTTAAATAATAACATAACTCAAAAAGTTTTAAGTTGGAATCAGCTCAAACTTTCTACATACATATAGCTTGAGGGCATCAATATGTATCAGAAAATTTAATAAAAGTTGGGGATAATTTTGTACCCATTTTTTGGAAAAAACTATGGGCTATAGTACAAGGTATTTTTTAGAAATTGAGTTAAATTGACCATATTACCATAACTTGAAAAATCAGCTTAAACTTCTAAAAGATGGCAGTGTGTAACTGTGTCTAGTGCAAAATCACAAGGCTTTGACAATGGCCTTCCATGTATGGCTTATTCTACTCTTAAGGCCTTCATACACGAGGCAACTTGTTGCTAGCAACATTTGTGGTTACTTTGATCTGTAAGCAACATGTTGCCAGAAATAGAACAGCCTTCTATTTCTGGCAACATGTTGCTTACAAGATCAAAGTAACCACAAAGTTGCCAGCAACATGTTGCCTAATGTATGGAGGCCTTTAGTGAATAGTATTGCACAGGTGATTTGTCAATAGTGAGTGGCAGTACTGTATAGCGAGAAATTTTCATGGCCCAAAAATTTCACAAATTCATCCAAAAATCTGTTTGTTGAATGTTGATCAATATTAAATCAGTTTTGTGAATTTTGTTTTTATGAATTTTGAATAAATCACAAAATTCACAAAAATTTTGGGCCACGAAAGATTTTATAAGTATTTCAGTTCCAAAGTATTCAATACTACTCTTGTATTGAACCCTAAAATAATATGGAACTAACTTTTGCCACAAATGACCGAAATGACCACAGCTGCTAGCTATTGATACATAATGACTATTAATTTAACAGTATTTCATAAATTTGAGTTTATTGGATGTATATGTATTGTTTTTTTTACATGTTTTAATTTTTATAGATTCTGGTGACTGTAAAATCAACTCTACAATAGTTGTAAAACCAGTCCTTCTTGTTCAGCCACTTAAAAAAGACACTACTGAAGTGGAAGAACTTGAATTTGATGAGCCAGAGGTACATGTAGCCTGTAAACCAAGGACAAGGAAAAGAGTTAACACTTGGAGATTGTTTCAACCCCAAGACAGAGATGTACTCATCATTGGATCATTTGGTGATTTTTCTAAACAGTCAGTTTAGCATAATATTGTAAACAAGCCACATTATCATTTGTTATGTACATTTAGGCACGTGTATACTGTAGCACCTAAGATTGTTCCCAGCCACTTAAAAGGAAAGGAGTGGATGAGCAACGAAATTGAAAGAATCAAAGATCTTTACGAAAAGTACAATGAAAGGTTTGAGGTCTTTTTCTTGTCTCGTTACTCTCCTGGAGAAGAAAAATCAAGACAGGATTACATTGATAAAATTAAATCAATATTTGACACCAAGAAACACGAAGGAGGTAAATGTGATTTTGAATGTTTTTGAACACTTGTACATGCATGTACATGTACATGTATTTCTATAATTTGTGACATGTATAATTGAAATAAACTCAGACTTTTGGCATGGTAAAAAGTCTGTTTGTCCATGGGGTAGAATTAATAGTACATGTGTAAAGATTGCCTGGTACAAGCTTAATAGTAGGTAAGTTTGAAAAATTATTATTTCCAAATTGATATACTTTTTTGTAACGTTAATGTACATGTACATGTACCTTTCCTATCAAATGTTTTGCTAACATGGTCATTGGTTTATACAATGTACATACTTTTGGTCGTAATTCACTGCACTAAAATGTTTTGGGTTATTATGTGTATCTGTAGTTATTATTGCTAAAATGCTTGACTATATTGCCTCATTAATCATTTTTATACACAGCTGTCATCTGGTACACTGGTCATGGAGAGAAAGGTACTGGTAACTGGTGCTTCAATGACGGCATCATTTCATTTGATGATATCTTCAATCTCTACCGCAGCCACTACATGGGCTCTTCACTGACGATAGTCTCCGACTGTAGCTACTCAGGCCAATGGATTAATGACTGGGCTATGAAACTAGATGAGTTTAATATACCAGCTTGTGGGCATCATGCTAGGAAGAAAAAATTTCTAATTAAAATAATTGCATCTTGTCAGCATAATGAAGAAGCAACGGCCCTCTCATTCATAAGTGAGGGGGTGGATTTTGATGGAGACGAGAAGGGACTGATGCATTGCCATGATGGGAAGGTTTTAGAATCAGGGCAAAGGTGTTTTGGGATCAATTTCAGAGTTATTTGTTGTCGTAAAGGAAGTCACGGAACTTTTGAAATTGATAGCAGTTGTTCGTCTAAAATTCACCTGGACAGAATGTATATCGGGTAGTTCAGAACTTGTTTATATTGTTACTGGAGAAAATGAAGATCACAAGAACGTGTGGCACTGCCTGCTATTTGATAGGAAGAAACTGAATGTGTTTAAAGGAGCAGTTAGCACAGCAGAGACCATTGATGTTAGTTCTTATGGGGAAATTCTTCATTCTGGCATTGGACATGAGCCACCAGTATGGTTGCACAGGAACTTAGAATTAAGATTTGTGAAGTGTCCTACTGATATGATGGATTTAAGAGAAAGTTGATGTCTTCATGGAAGCTAGCCATTCAAGAATTGTATGTTTGGCAGTAATCTAATAGATTAATGATGATTGTAAATAACCTATTATATTTTTATGTTATTGTAAATAACCTGCATTATTTTTTATATTTGACTTTTTATTAATTTTTTAGCTTTTTCAAAAGGTCCATTCACGAACTCATTTATGGTATTTGCTTATGCAGCACCCCAGGCCGTAATTAATTGGGCATGCAGGTGAGGGGTACTGAGGGCACTTGATGAAGCATGGAAGTCTCTTTCAATACTTTCTGAGCGAAACAACATATGACTCTGCTGCAGTGGTGATACCTAAAGCTACAAAGAAGGCAGCAGTCTCTTCTCTTCCTAAACCTCAGCTTTTCTTGGCCAGTCACGATCCTAAAATGAATTGTTTTCTGTCTGAAGTGAGGAAAGTGCCCATTCACATAGTGATGCATTTAACAGTCAATCGTCTCATCAAAAGTTAATGATAGCAGTACAGGATAATTTTGCATACAGGATGGTTGTGCCAAAGGGATTTGGCATTAAATCCTCAGGTACAAAAACACTGATTATGCATGCATGCTTTTATGACATTTGTGTTTTATTTCATTTTACGTGGAAAAGCCCGAACCTTTAGTAGTAACATCAAACACTTCAATCAATTCAAGCACTATTGTTATGTCTACTAAGTCTCCTGAAGGTCTCCCTAAAGAACCTGGTATGTTAGGGAATATAATAATACTAATGCTATATTATCTTTATTGTAGGATCCAAAACCTTTCTTGATTTCAATAGAAGTACATTGGCTAGCTATGATATAAAAAGGTTAGAGGCATCCGAGCATTGTTTAATATAGTGTGATATAAATGCACAGGTAGTAGATTTACTGGTAGAGATGAGGTTGGAACAATATGCTGAGACATTTCAGAGGAAGCAAATTGATGGTAAGATACTGATTGAATTAGATGAAAGTATACTTAAGGAAGAGCTGGGAATAACTAAGAGGATACATCGGTTAAAACTATTGAACATTATTAATGGTGATCAATGTGTTTCAGTTTATGTTTAATAGATTGTTTTTATTTTTGTACACACACACATGTAGTTATATAAACAGTAAGTTAATTGACTGTATTTAAGTGCACGTTCCAACAAGTGTTAATTAGTACTCACTATACTCAAAAGTTTCATCTATTAGAGGATGTCTTGATCTTGTACTAGGAAACTAAACAGGAAGAAATATTAAAACTGTGCCTGGACTGTAGTGCATGCATCATTACCCTTGTCTCCTCTTGCATGGCTAGACTAGATTAATGTGTGCGTAAATATGGGTGAGAGGAATAGGTAGAAGCAGAACATAATACTACAGTTGTATATTTGTGTCTAGATTGCAACCTAATTCATTACATAAAAAATTAACAGCACTCTAGAGATTTACTTCTTAATGGCAGGATCATAATCTGAAGGAAAGAAGAGAGAGCAAAATGAGGATTCATGTAAATACTCCTTGTTATTATGAATAAATTATGATACAGAATCTACGCCCACCATATTGATAAAACTCAACGTTAGGGTGTGGCTCAGTAGCTGCAAAAGCAATGGCTCAACACGTACACAAAGAAAGGTCTTTCGATGCATTCTTGTCTTCTGTTCCTCTTCTTCCTGAGTTAGTAGAGCACATTGATGTTGGTACTAAGTGGCTCCTCTTGGGTACACTGCTTCACGTTGATGATAAGAGATTGGATGGTATTGAGCAGTTACAAGGACATGATGATACAAGCAAGACACTAAAGATGTTTCAACACTGGCTGACCACTACTCCTACTGCTAGTAGGAGACAAGTACTAGAAGTATTGAGAAAGAGTGTGGTTAAACAACATTTAGTTGCTGATAAGTATGAGAAATATTTAAGGGAGCTTCATGACACTATATCTACTGAAGCATTTTCTATTTTTCAAAGGAATATTCAGTCATTGAATAAAGCTCTTGTCTCTTTGGTACAAGTGTCTCAACTGTTATACTGTAAGAGATGTATAAGTGAAGCTACTCTGGATGAAATGGAGAGGATAAATCAGAGCAGGTCGCTAGATGACAAGAAGACCACTCTATTGACTGCCATGAAAGAAACAGTGTCTAGTGACTACAGGAAACTTAAAGATATTGCTACAGTGCTGTCTGATGTTGAAGAAACAAGAGATATAGGCAAGAAAATTATGTCCAAATATGGTAAGGTCCTGAATATTGTAGTGTTGTTAGATCCAATACCAGTTTATGAATATAATTCTAATATAGAAGAGAAAATTTCTCAAGATGATGATAATACAGTAGGACAACCACAGGAAGTAGTAGATGGGAATGAAAATTGTGCTAGTGATATATTGAGGAATAATTACAGTGCTCTCTCTCAGTCAATTACTCAGCCAGTTTGCGTCGCAGAGTGGCTTCAAGAGGTTATATCCGATCAGACTTTGTCTTGTGTCACATCTTCAAGAGGTTCTGTCTCTGACAGTAGAGCAGTTCTCCTCAAAGCTGTACGAGATGCTGTTCACTCCAATTACAAACACCTGGAGTTGTTTGTTACTGTATTGAGGAAGTTTTCAGAGACTGCTCATATTGGAGATACTATTTTTGAAGAATATAGTAAATCGAATCTTTCTTGCATAAAAATACCTTTTTTAGGAAAGTATTTCAATTGTTGTGACAATGATGTTAAAGAGAGTGACATTTACTTGGCGCAACAAAAGTCTATGTCAGCTACTTCAGAAAGTATATCATAATAAATCTAGCTCTATTTTAAATTTTTACTTTTTACAGGTTCCTTAGTTGATGACAATGAAAAGGATAAACATGGTAATCATAAAATTCTTTTCCCCCGAGATATGAAGAAAAAGTTTAAAGAAATGAGATCAAAATTTGGATATACTTTTTTTCGAGTTCGGCATATTTTTTATAGCAAGAAAAGTGCTTTAAATATTGATGAAATGAAGGAACTAATAATTGACTTGTTTCCTGATTTGAAATCACAACTTTCTTATGAAGTGGCAATTAGTGAATTATTAAATGTAGTAAAAGGAAAGTGCAGTATTGTTGACTTATGTCCCCTCGAAAATTTAGCTTTTCAATTTAACATAGAAGAGGCTGAGCCAATCATTGAGTCATTCAAAGAGGAAGCTAAGGATTTCTGCAAGTTGGTATCAGTGAGTCTTTGCCTTGATGAGAAACTACAAGCAGTTGCTACTCCATCTCGCCTTTTATGTGAAACAGTTGTATTCGTCTTCAATTGGAATCCTGATGAACATACGCTGCAGGATATCAATGATGTTTTGGATGAGTTAGAACCACTACATAAGTGCCACATACAGATTGATAAAGTTGGTACTGGCCGATCAGTTGTAGTAACCTGTTACTGTCCTGCTGAATACACTGACTTGCTCAAAAGTGCTGTGCTTGAAAAGATAAATATGCTGCAAGGGAAAGGATTAAAGGAATTTGCAATTGGAAACTCTACTGTTTGGGATACTACTCAGGTTAGAAATGTCTGCTTATATATACCTTATATATTTCTTCATTTTGAAGGACTTGCTAGCACAGAACGATGAGTTAAAAGCTAATTTAAAAGGCAAAAATGACACAATAACAGGTATGACGAGACAGAGACTTTATTTGTGTATTGTTTAACTATAATGTAGCTTTTGAAATAGAGTTGGCAACTATCAAGGAACAATCAGAAAACAGATTTAAAAAAATAGAAGCATTAAAAATGGACCTTAGTAAGAGTCAGTGCATTAAAGGGCAACCGACATGAAAAATTGGGTTGTGATTAAAAATGAAAAATATTTTCATTATGGTGTAGAATGACTTGCAAAAATACTTTTGGTGCAAAATAATTGCTCTTTCCTGGAGAAAACTGCTTTAAAATGCATCATTTACTTCCTCATTTTTGCATCCTGTCTTTAGTTTAGCAAATGTGGGTTTTTCTCTATTTTGAAAATAAATTAGCTGAATTCATTCTCCTTTGCATCCATAATGAAAATATTTTTGATTTTTAATCACAACTCAATTTTTCGTGTCGGTTGCCCTTTAATAGTATGATTTCATAGTAAAAAATTCTGAGTAATGTTATATTAATTATATTTACAGTTCAAAATGAGGAAGTAATAAATAAACTGAAGAATGAAATTTCAATATTAAGAAAAGAAATTATGGACAGAGACAAATCAAAAATTATACTTGATCTATTATTAGAAGGTAATTAATTATAGCTCTATAGTTTATCACCAGTTTGAAAACAACTCATATTAACTATAATATGTAACTTGTATAACAGAGGCAAAGAAAGAGGTAGAATCAGCAAAAAAACTGTCAGAGAAGAGACTACAAAAAATTGAGGAATTGAAACTAAAACTTGAAAGCAATAATGGTATGTAATATTTCAGGCTACTCATATGGTTTCTCTTTTCTCATTTTTAATTAGTCTAACAGTAATGAGTAATTTCACTAAAGTTATTGAAATAATTATAATATTTTTTTATTAACAGATTCACCAGTACTGGAGTCAAGTGAAGCTTCTGATACTGACACATCAAGTAAAATATATTTACTTATATTACCAATTATGTACTCTTGATATTACTTAAGCATCTGATACCGACACATCAAGTAAAACATATTTACTTATAATTATAATTTAATTAACAATAGCAGTCAAAATTGCAAACTTTTTTCATGCTATGTGGTATGAGAAGCTAGGCCATTAATTTTAAATTTTACAAAATTACTTACTCAAAGTTTTGCCATTCACAATGCTTAAATGTTTGTATATTAATTTGCCTTTGTAGGTGTAAATAATGTGTTTAATATATTGATTTTTAGAAGACTGTTAAAAATAATGTTTATTATTGATTTCCATAGTACAAGAAGATGAAAATGTAGAGTGGTCTGAGGATGGTGTACGCCTTTTTAATCCTTCACTAGATAGCTGTGAAGAAGTAATCAGTAAACTGGAAGATAAACATGAAATAATGGTGCTCATTGATTCACCATCTGAAATAATTCAGTTCCTAATACCAACTATATTGGAAAGAAAAGCAATAAAACAGCTAACTATAATATACTCATCCTTAACTCCTGAGGATATCCTCTCATTCTCTTCTCAACTTTCAACCAACAAATCGTTAACAAGTCTGCAGATTATTCATAGTTCAATCAGTGATGATGGAGTCATTGTATTAGCACAAGCACTGCAATATAATGAAACACTTCAATACTTGTATTTTAATGATAATCCTGACATCACTTCAGCCAGTGCTCAATCGCTAGCGAAACTTTATAAGCTCAGTTGCCTTAATCTTGATAATACTAACATTGATCCTAAAGAAGTAAATGGATTTGATGGAATCACTCAGGACCAATAATATACAATGAGCTGAAAGATGTTTTGCTTTTACAATAATTTTAGTAGACACATAATTATTAATATTATTTTTAGTAGACACAAAATTTTTAATACTATTTTTTGTACACTATGATTAAATAATTTAGTACAGGAAAATTATTATGACATTATGATTAATTAATTAGCCACGCCCTGTGTTTAGATGGCTAACGTTCGCTCTAATGTTGGCTCCTTTCCAGGCTCCTCTCTTGTCAGTAGCAGTTTATCTATTTTCAGATATTATTCTGGCCAGCTCCAAACTGAAATAACTGACCCGTCAAGGCTATACCATCATCTCTCCCGTGTTGCTCCAGAACTCTTGGATGAATATGGCGGCCATGGTGACTCTTATAGTGTCTCCAGTCTTCAAAATCCCACCATTTTAACCCATCACCTGCTCAACGGGGTCAGAATGGCCATTTCAAGAGACCCAACTAAGCTTGTAGTGTTTCTGAATGCCCTATCTGAATTGATTGACCCTCGAGTTGACCAGAGATTGAATCGTATTGCACATGAAATGAAAGAACATGAAGGTACGATTGTAGCCTTACAGGCTATGTGATACTAGTATGATTGAGCTAGTTGTAGTTTTGTAACATAACATAATTTACTAAAAAATTGCACAATTACCAAATATACATTTTGAATGAGCACTTCTAATGTGTAGTATGGTATTCCTTGCGGT